CCTGTGGCTCTTTTTTCAGGGTTGAATTATTCGCATGTGATGGTGTTGCACTGCACACAGAATTAAGATTAAATAATGCTAATAAATACTAAAGCCCTTCTTAGTTTCATGGTGTTTAAGAAGTTTAAAAAGAAGTATAAAATAAGAGGATTGTGGAAAACAGAGATTTACTTTATAATATTTAATTCTCAGCTTATTCAAGAAACTTGAGCCATAAACATCTACAAATGACCGATAATGAATAAATAAATAAATAAATACTTAATAATACTTTGAACATAATATATGTTTACATTGCACTTTACTGATCTACAAAGGTTTGTAGAACATGCAAAAAGATTATCAACATAGATGTCAAAAATACATGAGTAGCGATAAAATATCTGTCTTAGTTGTGTTTGCAAAGTATGTTGTTTCTCCATGTTAAAGACTTTGATAAGCATGACATAATGAGACCCAGTGCACTCATAAGGGGCCCTATTGACATAGAGGAGCTCAGTGAAAGTGGGTTAGAATTGGTCCAAAGGTCTCCACATGTTATGACAATTGATCAGGGACCTTCATCAAAGATGTTCACCAAGTTTTGTTCAGATTGACCTTTTGACCTTGGTATAATAAGCTATAGTATTTATGAATGAATAATGAATAATGAATAATTCAAAATACCAGAGAAGGAATCCAATTTATGACATAACATGTAATTACAAAGTTATTTAGATCGGTGAACTGAATTAAAGGACACCTGTTATTTATCTGTAGACTTTGTAGTATCATCGTAATAACACTTTTAAAGATTTTAGGTGTTTTTGAGTGCTAAAACACCCCCTATTGGCCAATCTGGATCAAATTTTGCAAGCCACATCAGAGTGTCAATTTATAGAAATTTTTAAATTTTGAGATGATCAGACCAAAGACTGATGAACTATAGCAATTTAAGCTAGCAATGCCATGGCCACAATGATGAAGTGATGGAGGGAGACCACAATGAGCAAAATATTGAAAATATGCTGGACAATGATTGACCTAGAGAGGCTACGGAGTATTTCTAGAACAGTTTTGAGAAGTTAGCTTCAAATTCCACTGACTAGTTCGAAAAGCTATTTTCAAACAATTAACGATCGAAAAAACTATGCAGCTTTTTAATATACTTATAATCACAAAAATGTTTGGAACACTGCACTGCATGAGGTCATCTAATCTGTACAAGATATACTTGATTTTCATTAATAGCGTCCCCCAGTGGCCATATATTTTGAGACTTCACAGGTTGTTAGAAGGTGGTGAGATAGAGACAGATGTCAAGTATCATGATGATTGGTTTCATGTCTCTAGGACTTACGGTTTGGTCTGAGCGATTCGTTTTATCAGAGAAAAGGAATAACAAGAAAAACTTTAACAAAAACAATAGGGTTTTAAGCACTATGCTTAGACCCTACTGCTTGGACCCTAATAAAGCCTTAAAGCACAGAGTCTCAATCCTGGACCAGGCCTGAAACTTGCATCATTAGAGTTTTGAGTCCGACCCTGCACTCAATATAACTCTGTCTGAAACTGACCGAGACCGCTCTTTTGTCACCAACGTGCCAAATAAAACCTGCCCGGATATAGACAGTTGCATCACCGCATAGAGACAAACAGAAGTTATTACATGATGGATAAATAAATAAATGATAAAAAACATAAAATAATAAAAATAATAAGCTGTCCAAATGAGATTCTATTCTGCTTTAACAAAGTAACATATGAACAGTGTTTCTGAACAACATTTCAAATGGTTTAAGGGGATAATTTTTCCACAAGGCGCTCATCTCAGACTGTGCTGCTGATAGTCTAAAGAGAGAGCACTGCCTTCACTGTTCTTCACTAAACCTAAAACTCTATTTCTTCACATAGAATGTGTCGGATGTAGCATCAAACCACTTTTGGCTGAACAAAGTTAATATAAATGTCCCTTTTGTTTTTTCCATCCCTTTTTATCTTGTGGTGCTAAATTCTGTCTGTGTGACTCCAGCGAGGCAGATTAAACACTGGTTTAAAGTGATGATGAGGAATACAGTAAGGAGAGAAAAGAAAGCTGGGAAATTCAGGGTCAAATCTGTGGAAGGCGAGCTGTGAGAGAAAAACATAAAATTTGCACCTCACCCAGCACATAATCTGCTGGGTCCAGGGCAAGAGATACACCAGAATTAGGACATCTAAAAACCTGAAAATAAACAAAAATAAAAATAAAGAAATAATCAGACTGTACAAAGCTGTGCTTTTTCCGAGATTCTTTCCCTTTCTTATTCTGTTTTTCTCCCAGTGTATTTGTTGCTAGTTCCTATAAAATGTATTCCTGCCATCATATATGTTGCAGCTGTAAATCTTTGTTTTTGTTATTTAATACCACCTCCTGTGAATAGATTTACTTGAAACTGATACACAAAATGCCTTGAACAAAATGAACATATTCATAAACTTAAACAATATTTGAAAATGAAAATAGCATAAAAAATACATTGTGAGAACTTTTGTCAAGGTCACGTGACGTTTATAGAACGTCCTACTGCTCCCTGGTAGCTGAGATATTCCCAAAATAATTCATGTGTAATGTGGATCTGAATCTGTGAATGGTACGTTTTTACATTAGATTTCGAATCTATTTGATGAAGAAACAAAACAATACTGAGTCTGAAGGAATTAAGCATAATAATTAACAGGGTAACTGATTTTGTTCTTTTTCATTTCTGGGCCAAATCTAATCTAAACATATTTACAGAATGGTTCTGGTCAAATTAACTCTGAAATCTCACCTGCATTCCTGGAGTTTATTCCCCCGAATCTGCCTGGGGTCAGCTGATCTAATTTTTTTGACAAAATAAAAGTTATGCAAGCCTTATTTTAGACAATTTTAAAAAATATGATTATGTCACTGTGGAGAGAGCAGTACATTTATTTTTGAAAAATCAAAAATATTTTATTTATAATCTTTAATATGTAATATGTGTGTTGTACTTTGATTGTTAGCACAATTAAAAATGTAAAAACTAGACAGGATTTGATGTATAAATTATACATTCTTTAAAACTTGACATTGATGATGACATTAATTTTGCAAGATGCTATAAAAATACTGTGGGTAGGTTTATGCATCATCTTCCAGGACATGTTAAACTCATGTACAGTAAGTGAGGCATTTATCCCTTATTTGTCTGCTTTTTTTGGTTTTATATTTTCCATCTGGTACCATACTATTCAGTGAGATAAGAATGTCTGAAATGGACCAGTTAGTGGGGCTTTAGGGGGACATGTCCAAATTACAAATCAGATCAAACCTCATAAGCTGTAGACCTCGTATGTTGTAAGCCAATCATATCAGACCTGGGGGAGGGTCTCTGGTTCTGTTCTGTCTGCGACGTGATGTCAGTCATCAACTGCTGAATTTGACACTCAAAAAAAATCACTGAAATAATGATCAAGCCAAATATATAATATGGAGTCTGAATCAGTAAGCAGTTACAGAGTGGAAGTGTCTACCTACATTATAGATTTGTGCAAAGTGTGCTCAACTGGCTATCTAGTGTTTAGCTGGTTGCTTGTTAACTAGCTACCTAAGTTTAAGGCTACGTTCACATTATCAGGTTGAAGTGGCACAAATCCGATTTTCTGCCCCTATGTGACTCAGATCTGATGTTTTCAGGGCTGTGTAGACATGCAAATCTGATTTTTTCAAATCCGACCTAAGTCACTTTCATATGTGGTCCTAGATCTAATACGTATTCGATTCGTGGCCATGCGACCTTAATTCATGTGCTTTTTTCCCCTCTGCGCGTGTGCCATCAATCAGCGTTACCATGGCAGCAGCGCCAAACAGAAGTTAAAGCCTGAGAACGAGAGCCAGCTCATCTCACCTTTTTCTCCTTCGTCTCGCTCTAATAACGAAGCTGAGAGCTGATCAGAGTTAATTATCTTCACAGGCTCGTTCTGCACATTAGTTTGTTTGCTGATGATGCACGTGACGCACGTGATTCATGAGGAGGTGCGCATGCGGGTCATTTCAGGACGCCGGTTCATTCACATTAATGACGGATTTGAGTCACTTACCTAAACGAGTGTGAACATTGTGAGAGAGATCGGATTTGAGCAAAAAATCGGATTTGAGCAACGAGGCTTGAAACGTGACCGTAGCCTAAGTTCACGTGAGGTAAAGAAAAGAGGACAGACCATAACGCACGAACGTTATCTTGAGCCAGCTGATCAATTTTAATATTGCATATTTTCATATCACCGAAGAAGAAGGGCCTGGGTTCGATTCCCGGCCGGGCGACCAGGATCCTTTCTGTGTGGAGTTTACATGTTTTCCCCGTGTCTGCGTGGATTTCCTCCCACAGTCTGCAGACATGCAGTCAGGCCAACTGGACATGGTAAATTGCCCCTAGGTGTGAGAGTGAATGTGTCTGTCAGCCCTGTGGTGGACTGGCGACCTGTCCAGGGTGTATCCTGCCTTCCACCCGATGACAGCTGGGATAGGCTCCCGCGACCCAGAAGGAGAAGCGGCTTAGAAGATGTGTGTGTGTGTGTGTGTGTTTGTATGAACACAGGCAAGCAGAGTGTGTGTAATTGGACGGATATAACATTTCAGTCAAAGTTGATTTGTGTTTAATACAAACTGCAGATGTGCTGTGCGCCAACCTGATCAGCCATTTTATCAGTGTTCCGCTTATTGCTATCCTAAAGGTTTTTATAGTGAACAGACATTTTGGGTCCATTAAAAATCCCCCAGACCCCCTTAGTAATACCCCTCCATAAACATCTAGTGAATCTCGTTTCTTATCCTTTGTTTCAAGATTTTCCATCTTCACAGGGAAAGGAAGTCTCTCAATATTTTGGTAGAAGCATTTTTGGACCTCAGATTACTTCACTCAATAGCCAGCCCTTCACCACTCCTCTTTGTATGCGCGCTGTTTTTTCCTCTTCCTAAGAAAAAGTCTACGTCAGCTCAGGACGTGTAGAACTGTACACACTGCAGAACTGTTCGCACCTTTGTGCTCTTGTGCGTGCGAATAGACTCTGTTCTTACCTAACAAACACCAAATAAGAAAACATTGGTGAATGTCAGAAACTTCGTGAAAACTGCGTGAGTTTTAAGAAATTCCTTCTTAAGATTGCTCAGTAAATGAGGTTCAGTGTGATCTGTCGGCTGCCTAAAAGCACTAAAACAATAAAGATAGAGGTTAAATCCTAAAACCAACAGGCCAAAAAGAGACGTGATACAGGTAGAAATAAAAGAGCAGTTCCTGTACTGCAGGACATTCTGGAGAATGCAGCTCGTCCCAGCATGGGCCGTTTTTCCCGTCTCTTTGGAGCTCATTTCTGGGAAGCCGTGCAAAATATGTGGCTTGTTGGAAAAGGGGTGGAGAACAGCGGCAGCTTCGTTCTGGGGGTAATGAAGACCTAGTGGCGGTGATAGCACCTCATATTCGAGCAGCGCAAGACACTCAGCTGTGAAACTCCAAGTGAGTATTCTTGTTTTTTTCCTGACTTGTTTGAGTAGACCAGCTTGTGTTTCTGTTACTAAGAGTTCTTTCATTCGATAACATTTTATATTTCTGTAAAATGTCACAGTGAGCTGAACTATGGCACAGTGCATGGGTTCTCTCCAGACAGAAAATATGCATTATTTCCAGATAAGGCTCGACTAGAGCTGCGGGGCTTTAGAATCACAAAACTAAAGCCTGCAGACACCAATAGATAAACCGCGGATTTGCCGTTCTTTATTGTTTGTAACCCTTTACGAGTCTGCAACAGTTGAAAATGTTGGAGCTCAGTTTTTCAGCTGTTCGTTTGATTAGGTATTTCTTTTTCTGAGTGCGTTTTTTAATAGAAACTGTAGCTGATATAGTTTCAACATGAACAGCTCCAAGATCAAATCGCATGTTTGTCTTAATCAAATCGAGATTTTGAAACGGGGTCCGAGTGGGACTTGAGAGGGGCTGAGAGTTACATGAGCAGCGACAGACTAGCCCACCCCAAACTCTTCTCACACACACACATACACACACACAATGAGGGTAGGCGAACTTCGTAGATACAATTTCAAAACGTGTTAATGTCCCGCAGTGTCGCTACATCAGGAGTGCTGTCAGAACTATAGCAGCCAAACAGAAAGCTGGATTCACATAAACACAACATGAACACAGCCAACACTGCAGCACCGTCACTGTAAAACATGCTGAGTACAGAACGTCGACACAAAGAAGATGATAAAGTTACATATCAGACAGCTGAGATGTACAAAGACGAGGGGAAACAGCTTTAAACCCTAACCTTACGTTGTGTCAACCTTGTTTTGGAGCTCACAACGTTGAAATGTAGTTCCTCAGAAAGTTGTGACGTTATCTGACAACGTTGTGACGACATAGTGGCAACATTGTCAGGACGTTGTCACAACCTTCTAGAATCCTGATAAGTTTAATTCTATTTTGAATAGAATGGATCCTCTTGTCACTGGGGTGGTACCCTCTTCAGTACCTTTAGTTATGGAACATAATTGCACCGTATTCTGTTGAAATTATTATTTTTTTAGTTGTATTGACTCCACATACCCTGTCCTGACTCCAGGCTTTTTAAGCTTTATCGTTCTGTTTGAAAACATTAGGGTATGAAAATGAACAAATACACATCTTTGCCCCTAGGAAAGCTTTTACTTAAGGTACACAGTTGGACCTCAAAACCATTGTTGTACCTTTGGGGGCACATTTACATTGTTGGTACCTTAATGAAAAAAAAATGTACCTCTCTAGTACATTTTTTCTAACAGTGAACTCCATGGAATATTGCTAAGCTGCTAACAGGTAGTCATAACACCATATGGCAATGTTACTAAAAAATAAGGTTGGGACGACGTTGTTGAGACAACGCAAACTGCACCACTATTTGACAACATTGTTGCAACATTGTAAGAAAGTAGACAACATTGTGACAGTGTTGCGACATTGTGTGTCTGCTGGGTGATGATTTGATGCACTTAAATAAACAAAGTCATTGGGAATGATTTGATGTGAAGTGGTGCATTGTAGAGAAACTTACTGATTCAGATTTCTTTACAGTGGTGATAGGAACCAGGGCTCACAATTTACTATCCAAAAGGACCAATGTACCAATACAAGTCATCTGAGTTGATATGTGTAATATTGATAATGGCAAACTAGTGATACATTTGACAAACAATTAGTTTTCTTTGAGGACTATCCTAGAACGTCCCGCATAAACCCATGAGCCCTGAACAAATAAAAAAAAAATAAATTTAATGTAAAAATGTTATCTCAAAACTACTGTAAGACAATGTGTCAGGCATCAAGCATCATATTTTTAACCTTTTCATGTGGCGAATTTTCATGAAGTAGCTGCTGGAGGCAAAAACTCTTTAGACGTCTGGTTCCTATCACCGACTAAAATAATACATCTGCTGCAAATGCACTGTGATTCTGTGATCCCACTACGCTGTCCCAATGTGATCCCATGCTGTAGTTAATTATTGTACAGATGTTTTATTGTGTTATTGTCAGAGCAAGCGAATCTAGACCACAAACTACCACCTCTGTCCATGATAATCTGTTGACATCAACTTCTCTGTTTGTCCACCTGTAGAACAATGTGGGGCCTTTGGATTCTGCTCTGTGCTGCTGTTTTGACAGGTAACTCACTCTTGAGTTCAGCACAATCTTGAACATTTCTCTACAAACAATTTTCGTTCCTGTGATGCATTTTTCGAAAGAAAAGTTATTCCACAAATTTCTGGTGAATTTATGTTTTGCTGATCACTTTTATTCAGACTTACTTGTAGTCCTTGGTTGTGAAATGAACAAAAATGACAGGTTAAATTAATACACCATTTACAGCATCATAACAAAGAAGCTTCTCATCAAGTAAGATTCAGAATTTCTCTCACAAGCTTTCATATGTTGACCTAGAATTCTTTACTTCTCCTATCTCCTCTTAGAGTCCTGTGCCGGAGAGACTTTGCAGCATGGCCGTCAGTTGAGTATTAGGCTGCAAGACTGGATAAAGAAATTGGAGTTCACATCACTGGATAAATCCCTCAATTACACCATCTGGTCCGACAGTGTCACACCCCATCGGGGAAAAGTGGTAGGAGGGAGGGGCAATAACAGACGCTTCGTAATTGACTCTGTCAATTTTGATGATCAGGGAACCTACACTCTGTGGAACTTCAGGAACCAAGTGTCTTCTGTCACCAGATTAATAGTTATCTGTAAGTGACTTTGGTCTAACATCATTGATCCTCATCATACCTCTTATATTGTTTCTAAACTACTTTCCCATTTTTTCTATATCACATCCATTTGTTATTTTATAATAGCTGCTCTACAATAATACAAACTTTACTTTGAGTCTAACACTAACTTACCTGTTTGTTTTAAAAGCCTCCACCAACATCAAGTACTGTGTGGCTGATGCAACTCTCAGCATTTCACTGGATGGTCTGAAGAAAGATGAAGCCAGTCTGAGTTTCTCCAACCAAAAAAAGATCCTCACATTGGTGAAGCAAGGCTCACCTGTGTGGAATCTTGGTTACTATAAACGGATCAAAGTGACCAACAGCAGTATCCAGATGGTCAGTGTCAGTGAGTCCGATGTGGGCCAATACACGGTCTTTGATCTTCGAGGTCGTCAGACAAAGGTCATCACTTTAAAAATCACTGGTGAGTAGAAAAATAATGAATAATTTGGTTCAATTTTAACATGTTTAAAAAAGAAATACATTTAGATACTGATGTTATTGCATTAGTCTAAGAGATGCATTCTGAGCTGTGCTTATGTTTTATAGGTCATTCTCATTTTACAGAGTTAGTCTTTGTTATTAAAATGAAGGCATCACTTAGCAAGAAATTTCATTGGGCTAGCTACATTTGCTTATTATAGGTACCATCCTGTAATAGAATGTTGTTCATTATACCTGCCATAAATTTCAAAGATTGTACATTGGCTTACAATTCTTTTCTTTTCCTCTCTCCCCTTAGATGCCCCTGTCAAGGTTGATGATGTGCAATTGCAGTATGGGCAGAAGTTGAGCATCAAGCTGCCAGTTCAGACAAAGATGTTGATGTTCACCTCTAAATCCCAGAATTACACTATTTGGTCCAGCAGTGTCACGCCCAATAGGGGAAATGTGGCAGGACGGGGTGATGATAGACACTTCATAATTAACTATGTTAATTTTGAGGATGAGGCAGCCTACACCCAGTGGAACTCCAGGAACAAAGTGACTGCTGTCACCAATGTAAAGATTGTTTGTAAGTGATTTTATCTAATGTCTTCCTCATTCCTCATTTTCTCCACTCATGTTCACTTCATTTTTCTATATCACATCCATGTGTTCTTTACAATGGTTGCTCTAAAATAGTACAAACCTTACTTTGAGTCTAACACTGCCTTTCCAATTTGCTTTTAAAGGCTCAACTGACACCCAGAATTGTGTGGCTGGTGCGACTCTCAGCATTTCACTGGATGGTCTTGAGAAAGATAAAGCCAGTCTGAGGTTCTCGAACATAGATAAGAACCTCACACTGGTGCAGCGAGGCACGCCTGTGTGGGACCTTCTTGAAAGAGAACGGATCAAAGTGACCAGCAGCAGCATCAGCGTGCTCAGAGTCAATGACTCAGATGTGGGCCAATACACGCTCTTTGATCTTCAAGGTCGTCAGACCAAGGTCATCACGTTAAAAATCAATGGTGAGTTCTTTTAGTTCAAATAATTATTAATTTAGCTAAAATTTAGATGGTTTTAAAAAAGGAATACTTATAGATAATGATATTACTGCATTAGTCCAATAGTCATTTTATTTAAGAGATGTACAATATTATCAACTGAAACATTATTCTACTGGTTTTCAGAGAATTAGCTTCTAGCCCAGTCTAGTCTAGTCTAGTCTAGTGTCTGCTATTAAAATGAAGACAAGTGTATTTTATTTGTTTTCCATCACTTAGAAAGAATTGCTTACACAAACTACATTAGCTTAATACGGGTACTATTCTGTAAAGGAATATGATTCATTATATTTGCATAAATGTCATATGTGGGCTTACAATTCTTTACTTTCTCTCTCTTTCTCCTTAGATACCAGTAACTTGACTGATCGTGTGGAACTACAGTATGGGGATACTTTGAGCATCAAGCTTCCAGTTGAGGCAGAGACGTTGACGTTCACATCTAAATCCCAGAATGGCATTATTTGGCCAAGCAGTGCCTGGCACAATAGGGGAACTGTGAAAGGACTGGATGATAAAAGGAGCTTTATAATTAACACTGTTAATTTTGATGATCAAGGAACCTACATCCAAAGGAACCACTGGAATGCAAGGACTTATGCCACTGAAGTAAAGGTTCTTTGTAAGTGACCTTGGTCTTTATCTAACATGCCTTTCCAATGCTTCTTATATTCTTTCTCTGCTCCTTTCCACTTTATTTTTCTATAACACATTACATGGTTTTTACAATGGTTCCTCTATAATACTATAAAACACTTTGATTTAGAGTCTAATAATACTCTTTCCAATTTATCTTACAGCCAGAAGATACACCCAGGACTGTGTGGCTGGTAAGACTCTCAGCATTTCATTGAATGGTCTTGAGAAGGATCAAGCCAGTCTGCGTTTCTCCAATAAAGAGGTGGACCACATGCTGGTGCAGAGAGGCTCACCAGTGGGGAATCTTCCTGGCTATTATGAACGGATCAGTGTGACCAACAGCAGTATCCAGGTGCTCAACTTCAATGTGTCAGATGTGGGTCAATACACTCTCCTTGATAGTCAAGGTCGTGAAGCGAAAGTCATTACTGCAAACCTCGCTGGTGAGTTTCTGTGGTTAAAGTCTTTGCATCTTTGTGTCATTTTATGGTTACCATCAAAATGTGATGGTTAACTTTCAACATGTCCATGCTGTGTTGTCATCCGACTGTACTACAATCAGACACCACTGATTTCCTACATCTTAATGTTTTTTTTTCTCTTTGTGTAGAGCCGCACAGTTGGAAGAATCTATTCATTATTGTGGGTGTTATACTGCTGGCTGGTATTTGCTGTTATGTAGGAAAAACAGCATGGAAAAGGCAGCAAGCACTCTCGCATGTCTACAGTCAACTCTGAGAACTTACTTCCCCAGCCTGGACCCTCACCCATTTACAACAAGCCTATTGCTGCTGCAGGCCCCAGCCCAGTAAGACCCCAGCACCCAATATATGCAGAACGATGCATGAACTGGCAACTTGGCCTTGTGAAATGTACAAATTATTGAGCAGTGTAATTTTTTGTTGCTTAGAACTGTCTGTTTGCAAAATACAGAGAAAGCCCTGCTTTCAGCTCAGGCTACCTGGTAGCTTCTGTATCACCTGTGCTAACAGCCTAAAATGCTCAGATGTACAAAGGGGAATTTAGAAGCACAGAGGAGACACCTGAAACACTTACCATTAAAATTAAACAGGCTTCAAAAGATGTTGAACACAGACATACATATTTGGGAACTGACAGAATATAGAACTTGATTTCAGTTTACAATTTTAGGCCAATTTAAAGGAAACAAAAAATTTGGTTGTAGGATCTTTGAACTAATTGAATAAAAAAAAGTCACATGTTAAAGCAGTAGCTTTTAATATCTAATAAGGAAGAGGTTTTAGTTTCATAAAGTTCAGCAAACTTTATTGGAACAATATGAAGACTCGCATCTGTAAGAATGTGTTAATATATTTATGCACAATGTTTTAACCACAAATATGAGCACTGAACAGTCCAGATTAATTGGACGGATTTATCAAGCTAACCGTGAGTAGCTTAGTTAAGAAAAGATCACTAGTTATATAACTGATCTTTTCTGATTGTTTATCTTTAGACATCATTGACCCTTTTTTTTGCAAATACAGGAACCCACATAAAGTTTAGCTTAACTTTGAGCCACTATAAATCTGCCATGAGTGGGTTCTTCCACATAGTTTAAACTTAAAAAACTTCTCTACAGCTTCATGAATGAAATAACAACACCACCCTCCAAATGATCAGGATAACATGTGTCAGGCATTATACGTTCCTCATTAACACCATTCCACCATTTCTTTGCCTAATAATTCAGGCTAATCTGTTGCCTCCTTCGTTCTCAGTGCAGGTTTATTTTAAGTAGTTCTGTCAAAGTGTTTTTTTCACTGGACAGAGGATCCAAATTTGGAGACAACTGTGGTTGGCTGACAGGCGTGTCAATCATAATTTTACCTTGTTCCTACTGTGTAAATGCTTTTCCTTGGTTAATTGACATAAGATATGAAGTGCTCAACAAAGTTTCTGTGTTGCCAGCATTACTTAAGGCAAAAAATGAAATTCACACATTTTTTTTTCATATGCTTATCAAGTGTAGTTGATAAGACATGTTTGAACAGTAGGTGATGTGTAACTGGGGGTTCCTGTTTTCTCAGATTTAATGGAAGTCTGGGATTTATTTCATTCCACAAACAAATGAAGAGTTTACATGAACTGAACCAGGATTACTTGCCTGAACATGAGCCCACTGTCATGATTAAGACAGTTGCAAACATTTAACCGTTTGTTGAGGATCCTGCGTATTAGCTCACAAATTATTTACAGAAAAGAAGGACAGAACCTGATTAGATATTCAGCATTTTTTTCAGTAGATTGTTTGGTGTTCTCCTTCCTGGGGATAGAGGGTATCCCTATCTGCTGCCTCTGCCTGACCCTGGACCAGAGTTACACTACATTTTGGGCACTGCAGGACAGGGGTCAAACTAGAGCTAGGGCCATAATGACCATGGGCATCCTGAAAGCCTTGTTCCAGTGCCAGCACTGGCTCATGCCAGGGTCACCACTGAGAAAGCATCATACAGTCTTTCCTGCTCTACCACCCTTGATTGAAGCAACATTGAGGCTTATTATTATTGCCAGTGTACATTCGTAATACAGTATTGTGATAGATTCAATAACCCATTGTTCTAGGAATAATCAGTCCATGTAATTGTTGTGAGCTCCCGAAAGTGTTTACAAGGTTTTTTAACATTGTTTTCATAATCAGAGAGCAGTGAGAAGAGTCTGTTCTTTAATGTTAGATTTGCTGGCAATTTTAAAGTAGTTTTGAACTAGTAAATATTCAACTCAGCATTACTTTATGCGGGGCCAAATGTAGCTCATTGGGCCAGTAATCTAACGTTACACATCACCCAACTATATATATGTAAATATGTAGATATGTGATACATGTTTGTGATATTATGTGCTCAGAGAATCTGTATGTTCAAGAGAAGCTGTTCCATTAATAGAATTTTCAGCTATCTCTGCATTATATCTTTGAAATACCACTATGTTTCTTTTTTTCTATTTTGTGTAGTATACTCTGTACGCAAAAAGTGCTCTGTAAGAAATGTTCCTGCAAGCCAATGAAATAAAAATGTGAGATGTCCATTTTGTTTTATAGTGCTAATTTTGAGTACATCAGTTCATCACAAGTAAATAGTTCTGTGTAAAAACAGCTTAACAGCCACATTTAACTGTGTCTACTCTATTTCATTACATTCCAAGAGCCATGTTCACACAGCGCCTCAGTAAATGGATGCTGTTTCTGTATCACTTTGGGGTTTAAAAACTGCAGTTTCCATTTGCGGTAATGCCTTTTTTAGAACTCCTGCTGAAGGCTCTTAGAATAGTCACATAAGACATAAATAAAACATGTCTATCAAAAGCATATCCACTTAAAACAACAGCTAAAAAACAGAAAACATACATGTTAAAACACAACACAACCTCCAAGTGACAAATGTGTAACTAATAAGTGTCTAAAATGTAGTCCTAACAGTTTCTTCCCATATGTCAACATTTCCCAGTCTCAGTGCTGGAGTAACCCTGCAGCTTTAACAATTCACACTTGAAAATCTTCAAGAGTAGTCTTTGCATTAAACTGGGTGTTTAGAGGCATAGCGTCCAGGTATGAAGGGTACACACTTAGCTCTTATCACCAGTGTGTTGTTGCCTCTGCTTTTAATGAATAATTGACCCATTCCAAGCCTCACATCACCTTCTTAGCCTTTCAATTACTGTTAGCAACCATTGCTATCTAATATTACCCTAGTCAAGCTTTCAGTTCGTTAGGAGTGCATCAGCATTTCCTGTAAATATATTTTGAATTTGAAACTCCAGATATGATCAAAGGAAACTTGTAGTAGCACTGTTGCTAGCAAAATCGAGCTTTCCAAATCTGAAAGCCAAAAACAAACAAAAAAGAATGTTAGCTTTCAATTCAACTGTAAAGTAAGCCTAACCATCTGCATCACACACTTTAACATATGTGTCGATACATAAGTTGTTTTCATTGTTTTTGTGAAAACTTAAAAAACATAAATCTATTTATGCCAGGCTAAAGTATACTGCAATGGTGGGCATGAAAAATGTTTACGATCTATTTATGTTTTACCTGTGATGACTCATGCATTTACCATCGGTCAATCGACTGTGATTTGATACATTAAAGTAAAGTTAGATTTTTTTGCTTTGACACTGTCACAAAGCTCATTTGTAAGAAGACAGCATTGTAAGTGCCAAACTTGCAGAAAGTTGATTACAACAACATTCTAAAAGGCATATTCTATGGGACGGAATCTCATTTTTAAACGCCTCTAGACTTCAGACCTTCAGACACTGGCGTGCTGATGATGAACTGAACTGGCTTGAGGCAATGGCGGACAGCAACGGTTGACATGCAGTGGTTGCAGTACTGAGGAGAAGAAAGCAGAGCTTGGCAGGGAAAAAGGGTTTGCCATAATACAATGACAGCACTCACAGAAAACAAATCAAATTTCATTATCTTACAACATTCAGCTGAATAAATATTCTTTCTCTATTTGATTGGGTGGGCCTGTCTAGGTAGGCCCAGACTGACCCAGGCCCATGCCATTGCAATTAACATTAGTTATTCTTTTGCATTCAGGTTTGTGTTTAATACACTTACAGGACTGAACAGTCTGATAACTGATCAGATTGTGTGGTGGGGTAGGAACGTAGTTGAACATACTCAATTATGTGAAATTCTTTTGTATATGGACAAAACAGATATCGCCTCACATGAGAAACAAGCCAAGACATCAGAGCATCACTCACCTGGCGATGTTCTGACAGTAGGTTTGCTCATCTAGCATTATGACATTACATCATTAGAGTTCTGTAAACTCATCCCAAAACTGGATAAACTGCTGTTGTTGCAATTATTTTAACATTACAATTAATTAAAAGTAGTTACTTTTCCAATAAGGTATGGAGCCAGTGATGTATGGACAGGTTATGAGGGGGGTAGCCAACGGTGGACGATGCCTTTTCTTTGCTGTAGTTAAGCCAGTCGGCCATATTTTCAGGGATCTTTCCATGATGGAGGATCTTGAGTCATCATTAAGCAAATGAAGGTTAGGGTCCATGGAGAAGTGTGTCTTAGTCAAAGAAGAGATTCAACTACCACCTCCAAAAAAGGTGTAAACTTTCAGGCAGTCCTGCATAATATGCCTAAGAGTCCCAGGAGTCCCATATAGACAGGAAGTATTGTAGAGGTGAAGGCGATTGGCTGTTTTATTAAAGGGTAAGAGTTTCTGTGATACTGCCACTATATTGAGTGTTGCTATCTCATTCCTAGCAAGGAAAATTCTCACTCAAGTATCTATTCTAGGTTGATCAGACATTAGAAGTTGCTTTTGAAAAAGTTTATAATTAATGGCCATCTATGGAGCTTTTGTGTAGCATTCAGATTTGTAAATAGCAATCCTTTTTTCCAGATTGGACTTTGTAACAGTGCCTTATGTACATTGATGGTGTCAGTGAGCTACCAATGAGCTGATCAGCTCCCCAACCTATTAGCAGTAACGCTAATATCTAATATCTAAGAAAAATGTAAAACCACTCTGAAGCTTTCATCGATTTGTCATACATCCTTTTATTTCCCCAAAATTGAAGGGTGTTCCTGCTTCAAAGACTAGACACGTTTGATTACTTTGATTACTCTCTTTGCTTCAGGTACTCCCATTGCTTACGCTAGCAAACTGAAGTTGACTATAACATGCCCAATTTTCTTTACATCATTTTGAGATCCTTAGCTGCAAAATTCAAAAGTCTGACTGCACAAAATTGCAGCTATTGAAGTACAAAGACGTCCCATTTGAAATTTCGAACAGTTATAATGCATCATCGAGGCATTAACAGTACATTACAACCTTCTTCATTTTCCAGTTTGAACATACTACTTGCACTAAAAATGGCTAATACGCTTCAGAAGTACTGGTTTCGAGACACAGAGACTGTCTTCTACTGTCAATTTATCATTTGGAACGTTGACAATTGTCAATGGAGATGACACGTTTTATAACCTGTAATGTTCATTATCTCCATTTAGTGATGACCTCTGTTTCAAATGCAAACAGAAAGAGGTGTTCTGATGTCTATCCTTCCTTACAGTGGGAGGACCAGAAAGGGACCAGGCTCTCCCTAAACTGAATCTGTCATTACTGTGTTGCACATTTGCAGAAGGACTTGTGGGAAAAGGGTCTGATAATGTCTGCCACTTTGCTTTTTCTCTCTGCTTTATCTCTCAGCACTAAAGCTCTCTTTTCCAGTTTGGCTTTGTCAGCTTTAACTTGTTCATACTGATTCTGCAGACTTTGGATCTTCTCCTCTTTTTCTCTCAGATCACAGTCTTTTTGTTTCAGTTCCACCATCATATCCCACAGCCGTGTCTCCATACCTTCTTTGTCCCGCAATTCTTTCTCAAACTTCTGCCGTAGTTCATCCTCTTTCCTTCGGATGGCGCTCTCTACCTGCTGATACATCTTGTTTGTGTAGAATGTGCCTCCATTCTCCTCAGTCATCTCCTTTATCTTAATAAGCAGTTCCACCACCTGCTGTCGGTCATGGCTCACATTGCTGAAGACGTGGTAGCGGTTCTTGCACACTTTGAGGAGCCCCTGGAGATCCTGGCCAGCCTTTCTGATGAACTCTTCAATGCGCTCATCCTTCAGCTTGTCTCCATGAGTGAAGAGGACCATTGTGTGTTTGGATGCTCGTTCTCCAAAGATGCTCTGGATCCGTTCTACGGCTTGCTTCTCCTCCATGGTGAAGCGGCCCAATGGAATAACGAGGAGGAAGGCGTGAGGGCCTGGAGAGGAGAAAGTGATGCACTCCACCAGCCTGTTCATCAGAGAAGACTCTGAGAGCACTGTGTCAAAAAGGCCAGGTGTGTCAATGACTGTGATCCTGGTTTTCATCTCACTGCTCTTTTGGCACTCTTTGGTCACTGACTGGGCAGCAAAGTCAACTTTGAACTCTGGCCTGCCAAGAATGGTATTTCCTGAGGCGCTCTTTCCTGCTCCAGTCTTGCCGACAAGCACAACCCTTAGGTCCTCCACTGCCACAGATAAAACAAAAACATCAGGATGCAGCAGCCCTTAAAATTTCTCATTTACAAATTCAAAAACATATTCAACATTTATACAGTGGGCCCCAAAAGGTATCTGGAGATTTGTGCTGTACTTAAAAATAGATTTAGTTCATTGTCTGAACAGAATGTTAAATCAAGGGGCAGTTATTTTTCGCAGACCATTCACAGACTATCATGAACGTTTTGGGAAAGTGTTTCAGATCATTGTCAATAGAGCCATTGTATACTAGAAAAACAGCCCCAGAGTTTGGCGTCTCCACCTCTGAGCTTTACAGTACCCTTAGTGCAGTCTGGTTGGAATACTTTCCCAGACTTTCTCTACACAAGTCTGGTGAGTCTACCTTCAGTTTGTGCTAAAAGTGTTTTTCTCTGAAACTAACATCATTTTATAAACCTAAAGAACCTAAAGGGGAATACCACATCAAAATTTCTGACTAGTTCAGTCCTTGAGATGTACACAGAATCATTCAGAGTGGTTTGATGTGAAACGGTTTATTGTAGAGAAATTTGCCAACTCAGATTTCTTTACAGCGGTGGTAATAAGAACCAGGGGTTGCCATGACTCAAATATAGCAATTTTATTAACAATCAAAAACCACCAGTGAACCTACACATGTCTTTTGAGTTTTTGTATGCAATGTCAATGATGGTAAAATAGTCATAAATCTGAAAAATTACGTTTTCTTTGGGGACTATCTTGCCTGTCTGTATCCCTCCACTGTGAATGGAATAAAATAAACAGATTAAAATACATTTTAAACCTAAAGTTTATCACAAAACAATTATAAAACAACGTGCCACACATCAGGCAGCATATATCTAACCATTTCACGTAATAACGTCATGTGAGGGAGCTTTCAGAGGCATTTAACTTTTCAGACATCTGGTTCTTATCACCATCACTGTGAACAATTCTGGCTTGGTAAGTTTATCTAGAACAGAGCATTTCACACCAACCGCTCTAAATGACTTTGTCTACATCTTATTTCATTATATAGAATGTTTGAAAAATTAGTGAAGTTCCCCTTTAATTAAACTTTACCAATGGTTAAATGGTAAAAGCCAATGTACCCATCTTAACTGAGACCTACATGTTGGCGGTCGATCTTTGCTCTGTCTTCTTGTAGATGCTCTGTCGTGATCACCCGATGTTCCTGCTGTCAATGAGCAACCACAGTCTTAACTGTTAGTCACAGAAATGGGTTCATTTTACTCAGCAAACAACTGGGCTGAGGGTAGATGACGCCCCCTGTTGCTCTCCTGAAGTTTACACTGTATAACAATGTTTAAAAAGAACAGCTTGTTTGTGTTGCTTTTAATAGAACCCTTTTCATAAAAGTTATCTATAGATTTAGCTTCTTCAAGTAAGTTCATGTCATCAAAATATAAAATAAGATTTTACAGTGCAATTAAATTGAATTACACACTGAAATACATACTCAAGCACATTGGATGAAATCTGAAAGCATTAATGTGAGGCAAAAATGCAGGATGAGACTTTTTAGCTGTTCTCAATATGCTTTTTCTATGGAGCTCCATTGGTGATATCCCTTCTTAATAAAAATTAATGCATGGCCACGGCTTTGTAAGGCACAAGAACGAGATAATAAGGCATGGTCACAACTTAACTATCTCATTCTCATGCCTTACTAAGTCATGGTCACACATTAGGATCCCATTCCCATGCCTTTATTACTCAGTTAAAAGCACCATAAAGCAATGTATTTATCACGCAAATGGAAGATCTGTCAAATAGTTCTCAAAGTGGTTTAAAAAGTAAATGGAAAAATAACAGTGATGTTTAGAAATCACATACTGAACTCTGGTGTCAAGCTTTGCACTAACGCATTCCATATTATTTTATGAAAGTACAACACAGAAATGTAGAATTAACCAACATACCTGCTTGATTATCGTCTCTTGAAGTTGCCATTACTGTTACAACATTTTTTCAGCTTGATTTCTGCAAAGCTGTTGTTGGTTCCCTCACCAGCGTTCTATGAAATTTTGTTGTGCCCTTGAATGAAATGGAATGCAGAAGGTAACACATTAACAACATACCTGATGTTAATACATTAACAGCATAACCAAGCGTTCCTCTTTCAAAGTCCCCACAACCTCTTAGAAACTGCTGGAGGACAAAGAGCAGTGAGAAATGTTTTATACAGACTCGGGTCTCAAATGTACTGCACTTCATTGTGAAAGATTTCACTTTCAAATTTCCATATGGTGAAGAACAATTTGAGAGGAAGAGCATGGTGTCCTTGGAGCATGTTTAGAGGATCAGTATCATTTCTGCACTGAAGGTAAGATCATTCAAAGATTCATTCATTCTTTTTGCAGTGCCACTTAAGAGCCACTTTTGGTTCCCTAAAGAACTATATGTGAAAATAAATTGTGTAAAAAACTTTTTAAAGCTTTAAATAACTATCACATAATGTAAAGGCTCTATACCAATTCAAAAGCTCTTCCTAGAACTTTTAAATTATGTGGAAGTTCTTTAAACATTAAAACTTTAAAAGCGTCCTTCACATTCACACATCTCATTTATAGAAATCGGTGAAGTAACTCTTTTGAGGGGTGTAAAGTGTCTATTATTGGGCCCCTTGTGTAGACCCTGACACAACTGTACACCCATGACTCATAGAAAGATCACAGAAATTTCTTAACAACATACTTCACTAGTTAACTTCCATCAACTCTGCACAGACTCACATAATAACTGCTTTCAAACAGTTTCTTCACATTGATTCATTGTTTATGCCTCTAAAATCTTAAATAGGTAATCTAATGTAAACATTTCCGTTAATGTTAGGGGCTAGTGGCATGCCTTGAGAGCATCAACGTTTTTGAGATGTAACAGCAAATTATTGTTAATGTTTTATTCATTAAAAGTAATTTTTGTATAGAGGGGATGTTATTTTAGTTTGCACTGTGACTCAGAAGATCCTACTTGTGCCACGGATAAAAATGTTTGTCTAAAGAACCAACCACTGATTGAATAGTTTATCTTGTGTAGTGATTTGGGAAATTAATTGCTTTTAATTCTCTCAAACAGAAGTGGGTAGTAACTATTAACATTTACACAGTTACACATGTGAAAGAACCGTTTTGATGGATTTGTGCTTTCCTCAGTATTTCCAAATGATAATACTTTTACTTCTACTCAAGTTTATTTGTGAGCAAAGGAACCTACCTTTTACTAGTTATTAATATTTACATACTAATAGATTTAGATAATACATCTTTTTGCCGGGGGGTTGTATTGTATTTTCACTATGTTACCTTGGTGGCATTTTATTTTAGACCAAAGAACCCAGAGAAGAACAGAACCTAACAAACTTTAGTTTCTGTGCTGCTGGATGCCAGGTGTTTACCCAGTGCTCTGTGAGCTCTCTCAGAGTATATCCTCAGGTTTTTGTCTGGATGTAAGTTCCATTTTTTCCTCTGCAAGCAGTCACTCAGCTGTGTTACTTTGTGTTCTCTCTGTAGGAGTGCTTACATTTGCTTTATAAAGATGAAAAGCATCAAGAATCAGCTGGATATGCTGACAGTAACCACCTTAAGCTGATGATGTGTGCTTGGGGGTCACTGAAAGAGAAGCCATGGCAGAGGGTGGTCCCAGTGCTGGTGAGGAACTTATCTGAACTTATCTGTCAGAGGTGTGAGTTGATTGTGTTGAATGGTTAAAGTGAATCAGAATCTTTAGCATAGTACTGTCATTATAATTATCCATTTGTTGTTATTTGTTATTATCCAACTCATTGTTAAGTGAATTGGATGTAAAATGATAACAAGTAAGCACACATTCCTTAACTTAGCTAAAGCAGTATTAATTTACTCTTACATTCCCCAACCAGATATTTTGGCCATAATCTCAAAATACAGCGGTCACATGAAAAGTAAGGTATACACAGAAACAGCAGACCTTTGCTTTTTGGACTGATTGCATGTACAATTTTTGTACAGTGTTCAAATATGTTTTTTCTCATAAGAAAATAAATGGCTGAATATTGCGAAAATTCAGATCTAACTACCACAAATAATGTCAAAAAAGGACAGCTCTCACACTGCCCCTCATATACCTTACATGCAGACTACAAACCAGCACACATATATATACACATATAAGCAACCACCTGGGATACCATAGCAGCAATCGAGCAACACCTTAGCAACAACCTGGATAGCAATGGCCAAGCAACACACTAGCTAACACCTGGGATACCATAGAAATGCCACAGCAAAGTCTTAGCAACCACCTGGGACACCATAGCAATGGGCTAGCGATACCTGAGCAACCACGTGGAATACCATAGCAACAGCTTAGCAACCACCTGAGTTAACATAGCAATGACTTAGTAACATCTTAGCAACCACCTGGGACACCATAACAATGGCCTAGTGACACCTTAGCAACCACGTGGAACACCATAGTAACAGCCTAGCAACACCTTAGCAACCAGCAGAAAAACCATAGCAACACCTTAGCAACCATTTGAGATAACATAGCAATGACCTCGTAACATCTTAGCAACCACCTTGGATAACAAAGCAATTGCCTTGCAACACCTTAAAACTACCTGGGATTCCTTAGCAATGGCCTAGCAACACCTTAACAACCACTTTGGAAAACATAGCAATAGAGCCAGCCCACTACATTCACTGCAATGTCTTGGCCGACAGGTTTTCAGCACCGGTTTGGGATAGTGCTGGTTGGCAAAGTGGGCTGTGGAAAAAGTGCTTCAGGAAACACCATCCTGGGACAAGGGCACTTCACATCATCCCCTGGCTTCTCTGCTGTAACTAAATACTGCACAGGGTGTTATGGTTATGTCTGCAGCAGGAAGATCTACGTGGTGGACACTCCAGGGCTGGACTTCCCCGAGCTCAACACAGACGACCTGCTCAGAGACATAGACTTTTGGGCTCCCGTGGTTCACATTTTCTTGTTGGTTGTCCAGTTGGGGAGGTTCACCAAAGAACAGCAGGAAGCCATAAAACAGATGGAGAAGATCTTTGGAGAAAGAGTGAGAGATATCACACTGGTTCTTTTCACCCATGGAGACAGCCTGACGAGCAGCATAGAGGAGTTCATCCAGAAAGCAGGGGCTCCCCTACAGCAGATTCTTAAGGCGTATGGAAACAGATACCACGTGTTCCACAATGAATCTGATGATCGCAGTCAAGTGGTTGAACTTGTCCTGAAACTTGACCAGATAAGAAACTTGAACAATGGGAGATTTTACACGATAGATGGTTAGTAGTGCCTTGGTTCCTCTCATATACCTACCTTGTATTTACATTCATTGGTTACTTATCAGATACACCTACCATAAATGTGCACTTTGTAGGTGTTAAACTAGGTGTTAATGCATTCGTTCTGGTGCGACATCCTCTACCATGCCACTTCCATTGGGTGTCGCTGCTGGGAGAAAATGGTCCACCACTCAAACAATACATGGTCAATGATGGTCCTGTGAAGGTCTCTTGGCAGCGATAGATGGGGTGAAGCAACAGACGAGCTACAGTCAGTAACTTACCAAGTGCACCTTTATGCTAGGTGTACCTGATAAAACAGCTAATAAGTGTAGAAACAAGGTGAGTGTACCTACTAAAATGGCAACTCAGTGTAAAATTAATTGAATAAAATAGTACATTCCACCAGGCTTGAACTTGGGGTTTGTTTCCCAGACTTGGATTAAGCCTAGACTTGAACCAAATTGCAGTACCAATGGTGAATCACCATTGAAAATCCTTTTTGGTCTAGGCTTAGGCTTAATTTGGGCCTAGGAAACCAGTCTTATGTGCCTAAACTTAATCCTCACAGCAGACCAGAATTCATCATGAAATATAAAACAAGCTTATAATAAATACAGTTCTACCCTTGACTGTTTTTTATGTGTACATTGACATACTTTTAGTAAATATAATTAGTTTCTTAATTAATTATCTGCTGGCACTTTGGATGTTGTACAGGTGTATGACATTCTTTTATCTTATAGATTGTTTGCGTCTGAAGATGATACTAGTGGGAAAAGCTGGCTGTGGGAAAAGCACCTCAGGCAACACCATCCTGGGTGAAGAGAAATTCACCTCACGTAGCTTCCGTGCCATGGCCAAGCGCTGTGACTGGTTTTATGGCCTGTCTTGTGACAGGAGGATCCATGTCATGGATACACCAGGGTTGGACTATCCAGAAATTGTCACAGAAGACCTACTTATGGACATAGACTGGTGTGCTCCTGTAGTCCATGTGTTTCTGCTGGTCGTGGAGCTGGGGACATCCTTGCAGGACCAGCAGAATGTGTTGGAAAAAATGGAAGACATTTTTGGGGAGAAATACAGAGACTTCACCATAATCCTCTTCACTCATGGAGACCAGTTAAAATGCTCTGTGGAAAAGTTCATAGAAGATGCTGATCCTCCACTGAAGCAGCTCCTCAAAAGGTATGGAGACAGATATCATGTGTTTAACAACAAAGTCAAAGATCCAAATCAGGTTAGGGAGCTCTTTCCCAAAATTGACAGAATGAGGGTTTCAAATGGTCACGAAGCATATATATTTGAGGTATTCCAGGGGATTTGGAACAAAGAGTAGAAGAAGACAGAGATGATCACTGTATACAGTACAATGCTTTAGCAGCATAACACTGTATGAGTCATATCAAGTCCCTGTTACTTATGAAGTGTTTTTCTTAAATTACATCAGTTTTCATCTTAAGATGTTTTGTTTTTACATTAGATGCAAAAATATTATCTTTCATAAGCTCTGAATCTTGTTATATATTGTAATTAATAAACAAAGGGTTGGACAGTGGTAATATGCTCTTTTTCAGTAAATGAGCATCTGAGTGTGTTCTCACACCTCAGCACAGGATGGCAACACAACACAAAATAATGATGGCCAATTATGCATCTTGCATATCCAATCACTGAGCACTTTATTAGGAACACTATACTAATACTGGGTAGGGCCTTCCTTTGCTCTCAAAACAGCCTCAGTTCATATCTATTTGTTGGAAACATTCCTGCTGCGAATCTCTTGTTCTGCCACACATTTTTGCTCACCACAACTGTAGAGTGGTTGTCTGAGTTACCGTAGCCTTTCTGTCAGCTCTAACCAGTCAGTCCATTCCCCATTGACCTCTCTCATCAACAAGGCATTCCATCCACAGAACTGCCTGCAGAATGTCACTGGAAGTTTTATTCTTTATCGCACCATTCAATGTAAACCCTAAAGACTGTTGTGTATGAAAATCCCATAGAAATACTCAAACCAGCCCATCTGGCACCAACAATCATGCCATAGTCCAAATCACTGAGATCAGATGTTTCCCCAGATGGTACTTCTATTATTCTTGTTTTAGGAATTTTTCACCCTCACTGCTTTACAGAACCATTCCTAGTTCTGTGTTTTAAAATCTACCAACAGATTTTCAATGATGTACAAGATGTAGACTGTAAGGGGCCATTCCAAATGCTTCAGCTTGTATTTCTAGAAGTAGCTCATTGAGGATTCTGAAGTATGTTTTGGATCATTGTAGAATGATCCAAAGAAAGTTGTATAAAACAGCCTTTTTCAGTTTCTTCACTAACTGTGTCACATTTGTTGTTTTTTAGCAGAGTCCATGTGCATTATATGTGCAATGTTTTCTGTGCCACCGGCCTACCATGCAATCCCAAAACATAGAACGTCCACCCTCAATGTGACCAATGAGTTCTTTTTTACTTCATCCTTAGATACCACATCTTCCCAAAATGCCTCTGGTTTGTCTAGATGTTTTCCATACTTAAGATGTTGACTTACATGATGAAGTTGTACGTAAGGTTTCCTTGAAATGGCCCAAAATTGCTTGGAAGAATCTCTTCATATGAAGTTTTGTCATCAGTGCAATACCGATATTATTATTTAAAGCAATTATGTGCTGATACAGATTGACTGAGATGATGTCACTGTGCATGTCTACTTGATATGAACACACTCACCTTTGTAAAAAATTCGCACGTTTCAGTCATATCGCAAAAAGAGGCAGTGTTACATTCAATATTTTAATGTTGAAGACAGTTTCATAAATAACATGAATCGTTAACATTTATTAAAGCTGATTCTCTCCTGTACTGATAATATTCATTGTGATAAGTGCTTTAAAGGGGGAAAAAAAAAATGTAAAAACAAACTAAACTTTACACAGTAAATTCACACTTAAGGATCAAACTGAACACCATCTTTACATCCATTGTGTCAATTACAAGCTTCCTCTACTAGCACTTGAGATGGAACGTATAACTAAACAGTACCAATTCAATATCCTTCGATTACCCATTCATCAAAATGATACCTATATAATATCAATGAGGCACTCAACAAAAGTTTATCTGAAAAGTGAATGGCTTTCAGAAAAAAAAACTGTTGAGTAGTCAAACTCGAGTGACCAGCACAAGCTATTATTTTCACTTTGAAATTAAATACATCTTGCACTTCAAAATGTCTGCTCTATTTCAAAAAGATAGCTTATTAGTTTACCAACAGTGTTTCAAGCGTTTCTTCCTACCACATCCATATCTAATTTCCAACAAAGCACTCTGTATGATACCACAACAGAACAGGAACCTCTGTAGATGTACTGCTGGCTAAACATGGCATTCTGCAGATAAAGTACCAAACCAAGGATATGGTGAGTATTGGCCAGTGTCGGTCATGCATTGGTATGTACAGATCGGCCTTTTGCACAGTTCTCTGCATGCAGAGGCTTTCAACACTCACATCGTGGGCAGGTGTTCTTGTACAGGCTTGAAAGAACTCTTTAGATGAACTTAAGGGGTATGATAAAAGTTCAGAAGTCATGCTGTTACATCAGAGAGGAAGTGGACCAGAGTACACAGGACACTGAACAAGTATCTCTTTTCTTGAAGACCTGAAATCTTCAGGAAACTTGAATAGAATTTCATTTGTCTTGAAAAGTGGTATAAATGCTACATAATTTGTGATGTGGGCATCTTCTTGAGTGCCAGTCTCAGCCCTTCAGCGTCATTTGCATCCTAACAGGAAAAGTCTATTATTGTCACAATAACTTTCAATCCAAAGATGTGTCCATCCTGTGTGATCTGGTTGTCTCACTTTTGCCATGAGTAAATACACATACAAAACAGTACTTGAACTTCATTAAGCAGCAATAACCTGGCCAGCAAGGATTCTCTCTACCACTAGAGGGAGACAGAAAAATGACGCTTTACAACACAGGCAAAACCATTTTTCCTATCATACTCAAAATGTATTACCCATTTAAAAAAGAGAAAAAGTCTGTACAACTTAGTTAAATCAACACTGACTTATTGCACACATTGTTTCTAGATGCAAAATATAATCAACACACTTTCAGACATCCGTAAGAAGTCGTTCTGATCCCTCTCTCACTCAAGCACACAGTCTCTCTCTCTCTCACTCACTCTGCCACACTAAGTGAACAACTTTCAGTTTTAGAGGAATGCTTACCAAAGTAAATAAAAGTTTACACTCATAACATGACATCCCAATCACTCACTCACACTCTCACGCTCACTCTCACACAGCGTTTTAGGGCATTTTTAGCACAGTGGATTTTGAAGTTGAAGGTTTGTGTAGCCAAAATAGCACCTTCTCAAAATTCAAAAGTAATTTGTATTTATGTAAACTAAAGCATCACAGTGCAGCCAAAACAAGATTTTCCATACTGCACATATAGCCCTCCATTCTTCTCTCTCTTTCACACACACACATACACAAAGGCAAGCTCCTCATCCACTGTCACTACAGTGCTTTCTCCTCATTTCACAGCACACAGTCACTAGTAATGTATCCATAGCACTGTTTAGCACAGCCTCGGTGCCGAGGCTAGGAGGCATGTGGAGGTTGCATCACCATTCCACCAGTGGGCGCTCTCACTAAGTCTGTGCCTCTGGGAGCGGAAGCCCCGGCTCGCATGGTGCTGTGGGCGGAGCCAGGCCGTTTGCTCTGCGACAAAGAAGTCCCTTGGTTGATGTGGCAGTGGCAGCTGCCGCTTCCCCACCGTTAAGGTTCCTGTATGGGCGCCGAGTGGGCGGCGCTCCGCGCAGGCACACGGAAGGAAAGCTAAAGCCGACCAGGCAGCAGCTCGGACAGGAAATTACGTCATCCTGATCAGCAGGGGGCGCTAGGGGCTCTTGAGCGCGGCGGCCACGGTAGCTGTTGAGCCGAGCCCATGTCGGCATCCTGCCAGCTCCCAGCAGGCAACTGTTGTTGTTGTCCAGGCGGGGCAGGGGAGGTAGAGACGGAGGGCCGTTTGAAACCGGCCTGGGCCAGCCGTTTGGCTGCCGACAGGAAGAAGAGGAGGACGAAGAAGAGCTGCTGATGAAGAGGGGCTTTCCCGTCATGGTGAGGGCACCCTCGGGGGAGCTACTGCAGTCCATGGGTTCTGAGCAAAAAAGTCCTTCCATCTCTGCCTGACCTTCGTCTTCCTCCTCCACCCGTTCCAGAGACACCATCTCTAGCTCCAGTGCTAAGCCAGAGTCCTGGCCAAGGTCGTCTGAAACCTCCAGCCCTTTTTCCCTCTTTTCTATCCCTCCATTCTTCAGCTCCTGCCCCTTTTCCTCCGGTTCCTCCTTCACACTTAGAGTCTCAGGCTCTCGAAACAAAGCCAGAGGACGTCCTAGTTCTGGCGTGCAGGGCAGGGACTGGCACCTGCGGGGTGGCGAGATTGCACCCAAGGGCGGAGAGGCACAGGGGTCGGGAGGTGGGGGCAGAGTGAAAGTGAGGGAGATGACCGATTTGCTGGGTGTGTCGAACAGCTTGATGCGGCCACAATTCAAGTCATGGCGGAGGGAGAAGGGGTTGACGCGCACCGGGGTGCCTAGGCATGGAGATGCGGCGGGTGGAAGCATGTCAGACTGACTCCGGGACAGACGCTGGTTACTCACGGGACATGGTGAATTCCTCCTCCTGTACGGGCTCTCATCAATGGCAACAGGTTCTGAGGACGTCAAAAGATAAAAGTAGGAATGAATGCTGCACAGTTAACATCAGGTCACAGTTAACTGGAAACACTGAGCATATTAGCTTTTAAAACAATTTTCCCTTCCCCCAGATTTAGTCAGGCAAAGCCAGGGGACAAAACATTTGCTTCTTTGGTTTTTGCAGAAGTAAAACAAAAACATGTCACATAACTAAAAAATAGCTGTAGAAGCCATCGTAAAGCCCTATATTCTGTCCACACTTTTTCCACTTTTTAGGATGACCGTGTCATACACGTCTATATGAAATTACTTAAAAGAATCCCAGGAAAACAAAGTCATTAACAGTATGAGTTTGAATCCATTTCCTGATGTCTGAGACACTGTTTTATAACAGTTTTAATTTTTACAACAGATTTATCATTTTAAAATATTTTTAAAGCCACTCATGGCAGAGATGTACATGCAGGGTGTGTGGCAAAACACTCCCCAAAGATTGCACTGTTTTCTGATTTCCCACTATTTTCCTTTATTAAAATTACTTAAAAACCACATTTTGAAACACATTTTATACATAGGTTTTAGATAGTAAATAAAACTTATATCTGTATTGAAAACACTATGACTCCTGGTTCTTATCACCATCACTGTAAAGAAATGAGTCAGTATGTTTCTCTACAATGAACCATGTCACATCAAACCACTCTGAATGACAGTTTATATTTCAAACACTGAATTATGCAGCAATTAGATTTTCTTCAACAACTAGTTATAGTTTGAAGCAAAAGATGTAATTTAGCCATGCAATCTGAACGCTGCTCACTGGTGGGGTAATAAACGTCCATTATTTGTTAGCTACACCCAAGCTATCTACACGGCTAGCTTTGTTAGCTAGCCGTGTAGATCCAGTGCAAAATTAAAGAAGCTAAACTTTGGACACTAAACACGCTCTGGCGTCAAATAGATTTGAGTTAAAGGGGATATTATGCAAACTTGTTTTTTTTCCAAAACAAAGAATCTTTACATCTCTGAACATTTTCTATTTAGTTTTTTCTTATTATGTATTCAGTGTTCATAGCAAAGTTTGCTGAACATTCATAACACAGTTTGCTAAATGTTGATCATCTTCTCAATCTCCAAGTCAGCGAAGAGTTTTATATACAGCTTCAACAGCTGCCAAATAAACATCCTTAAATCATGGTTTGAGCCAGGAAGTTTCTCGAAAGGATGTGGTTCGCAGAGTTTAAATACACTGTATTATTAGAGCGTTTGATGGCTCGGATCAATAAAGCCACTCCTAGAACAATTAGAGACTGAAGAGATATTTCTGATACGCTCTCAGCTTTAAACTCTTGATAAAATCTGATAATAGCATGTATTTTAAGTTATAGGGATGTGGCATATGT